TTTGACTGTTTGTAAACAGTTTGGTGCACCTATTTTTCTTGCTTCAAATGGATAAATCTGTGTAAAAATGCTCCTAAGGAAGCGAGAAAATGTTTGCTTCAGTCCTACGACATAAGTCAACTGAAAGTTTACCATGGATAAGTATCATAAGTGTATTGTCATTACCTGATAAATCTACTGAAAACTCATAAAGTATGTTGAACTAGAAGAGCTACAAAAAAGAAAAAAATTCAAAACACCATGACACTGTTGCTTGGTAATTTGTATTTTGTAAACAGCTTGGCAGAATCTTGGATCTTTTACTGAACAGAACTACATTAATTTTCCATTGAAATTACAAACTTGGAAACTAAAAGTGCATTGGTTTCTCTGACAAAAAACACTGTGTATTGCTGCATGAAGGCAAAATAGTTATTTGACAGTGTAGGTGAAGAAATTTATCAAGTTCTATAGATATTATTGTGCATTACTTACAGTTTTTTGGAATTGTGTAATATATGTCATTAACAAGATATAATTTTTCAAAAATGCTAATCCCTTCGAGCACTACTACTCTTCTGTTTTGCTTAAAGAACTTACAGCTACCAATACTAATTATTTGTAGAACTCAATGCCTATTATATCTATGTATGAAGAAAACACCAAATGTGGATACTCAGAGAACAAAATGCACTACCAACTGCTTATGAAATTTATTATTGAGGTGAAAACTGTGTTAATCATTCAAATTGTGCACTTATATTGCAAATATAGGAAAAACAAAACAAAGTGAAAAAGAAGGGTAGAAGTATTAAAACTAAAAATGAATTATAAACACCATTGGAAGCATAAGTGTTTTGATGATTATTTGCATTTTGCCCAATTTATATATCAATACAACAAAATCAAAATGTGCTACAACTTTACAAGTATTTGATGCAGTTGCACTTCAGAACATCACAAAAAGGTTACTTAAAGTAATTTCTATACAATATTGTTTGTTTTCATTTACCAAACCTATGCAGACTTGAGTCTTTTTGAAATTTAATATGAAACTCAATTACAGAAAATCCGTAAATATCCAGAGATTTAATATTTACTTTTTTAAAGAAACAAGTAAAAATCCTACAATTGTGGAGAAAAAAGCCATTGCCTTTCCACGAAAAGAAGCAAAATAGCAATGATAACAAATAAGCTAAATTCTCTCCCGTGAACCACTGTGGAGATGAGCTATGATACACTTTTTTGTATAGACTAAAGACTTTTAATCGATGAAACAAGTTTGACGCTGGTAAGAAAACGACGCATATCTGCATTCATAGATGTGTAGCCGACATATAGCTCTTTCGTCGATAGTTATAAATACATCCTCGTAGGAGCCGATAATAGGAAAGCTAGGTTGACTCGCTGTTACGAATTGTAGGTTTTTATCGTGATTTTCATAAAAAAATTGCTTGCCGAATCCCAAATACACACATACATTTTCTTCTCTCTTTCCTCAGGAGGGAGTGGGAAATTACGAAATTTTCGGAAAAGTGGTCAATTTCAGTAAATCTCAGCGGCAACGGACGAAATCCGCCATTTTTTTGGCGTCATCAGATATCTAAGGCCGCGCTTGAGATAGCCGCTCCAGTTATTATAGAACTCAATGATATATATATATGGAGTTCACTGCTTGGACGCCATCTTTGAAGCCTGCATGATCGCCGCCATTGAGGGTACGGAGGCAAAATACATCACTTCGAAATTACCGGATTTTTTGCAAAAAAACAGTGGTCTTCGAGCCAGCTTAATGTCTAAAAACCTTAAACAATGTTTGGACTTTAATATAAAACAAGTTTGAACGACATTTGTGCATGTTTAAGCTTTTTTTTAGAAGGATGAAAGGCGAACTTTGTTTTGGCACGTGAAAACATGCCTTATAACTTGAATACAAAACTGACACCCCTCGTTTTTTTTCATTAAAAGGATGTAAAATGCACTTGTCTATCCTTATAATATTGTTTAAATCTTTGAAAATGATGCTGTCAGGGCAAAAAACGCTGTTTTTCGGTAATTTTTGTGTTTCCGAGCAAAATTAGCTCGCCCCAGTCCTTTTTGAAAGTTCAGAGCATAAACAAAAAGAAAAACACTTTGCAAAATATTTCAAAAAGTTAGCAAAAGAATATTTTGAGTTCGTTTTAAAAAAACTGTTATGTCATATTATTATGTTATTATTAATTGCACCATTAATGAGTCAAAAGGGTCAATACCCACTTAAAAAAAAGACAAAAACACAATTGACACTCCATATTCATAACTTTTGAAACACCTAAGTAAAAATTGTACTGTAATACAAGTATGAAAAAGATTATTAGCCTAATATCATAGAATCATCATATGTTTTCACAAATATGACCAAACATTTTAAACACACATCCTAAAATTAAATATATTACATATACATTTATCATTATCTGTATTACAAGAAAAAAGTAATTTTACAATCAATATGATATACTATAAAATTTTGATACAGGATATAGCTTTGCTTGCTTTATAATCATATTAAAACCCTGGTTCAAACCACTGAAGATGAGGGTTGCTTTTTGGCATTTATGTAGAGCAGGTTATATTAGCAATACTTGTCATGTTGTACACTTGGCTATTTATTTATAAGCATGAACTTGCTGATAAAATGCTCAATACACAAATATGGATGCATGTCAAATCTTCCACCAGTTCTTAAGAAGTGGGAGAAGTAAATGACAAGAACCAACAATCACCCACAATACAAAATTTCAAATCATCACTTTCACACATTACAAAAAGAGCATGTGAAATTCTTACAAAGCAAGTCTAACTTTGAAAGCAATAAAATTGTTATGAAGCATGTTGTATTAAGTGGATTGTGTGTATTTTGCACAGCATTCAAAGATACAGACTACCTGTTATCAGTTTTATCTTAAATTTTTGGTCTTTCGATGACAAATAAGAAATTCATATTTCGAAGAAAGTTCTTACTTTTATGTTTAATATAACACAGCGTTACGTATACAAAACATGTCTTGGAACGTCCACAAAGCATCTTAACACATTAATAACCAAATTTTGCTAACGGTTTTGAAAAAAATAAAACATTTAGGCTAGCATTCTATTTCCAAGTTAGCAGTTTTTGCAAAACAATCCGTCACGCAAATAAAACAGTCCATGCGAGATACACGCGAAGCGGCAAATCAGCTTCTAAGTGGCTTCAAACAAGTCTAGGTTTGTTTATAATGAGTTAGCCTTCCAGTTGTTGTAGAGTTCATTGGGTCAAAGCTGATATCATGCAATTACTTGCAAGTCATGACGGTTACATAAACTGGTTTACTCTATTAATGAAAAAAATTAATGTGACCATAGTATTTCAAGAAAACAATAGCAGAATACGCCAATACATCGCCGTAAAATTGATTTCAAGTGTAGCTCGATTTGAAAGCATCAGCAGTGAAGAAGGCATAAGATACTGGAATTTGCACATCTAAATATCATATCACAGCACAATCTGCCACAAAATATTCAATCGAACGTCGTGGAATTATCTTCCGATATTTATTGCTAAGTAAAACGAGTTGGAGATAACAGTTTGAAAGATTTTTCACGATTTATATAAAGTATATTGTTCACTGTACATAATTGAATATTGCACTGGATTATTGTACCAGAAATGCATTTTTCTGGTGTTTCTGGTCGGCAAACGAATATAGCTATGTCAAGATGTGAGTAATCAATACGTTCAGAAATTATTTACAGAAAAAATGTGAAGAGTCTACCTCTGTTACACCAAATTTTTTGTGAAGTATAATATAGCAAGTCACTTGTGAAACTATTGATACCACAGGTTGATACATAGCACTCTGTCCAACACGGGCAAAATATTTACTTATTAAAGCAAGAAGAGTCACCAGACTTGTAGTCTTGACTGTGTTTTACACATATATATAAGCAATGTATTGTCATAGTGTAAACCAGTGTTATATATGGCCACTGCCCACAGTGCTTAATGTACTGTTATGGTGATGTTATGCTACTGTTTTCAACATTTTTATTGTCTTTTTTTCCCATTCAGTTATGTATATGCATATAAAACTTTCTACACAGTGTTGTTATTGAAAATATCAAACCTAAATTATTTATTCTGAGCAAAATATTTAATTTGTACTTGTAACCTTGCTTCTTAACAGCAGTTATGTATTACAACAGCAGTTATGTATTATATTATCCGTTGTGTTACTTGTACAGTTTAGCTAACATCTTTATTTGAAACAGTGTAAATATTTAAGTATAATTTAATTTTGACGGTACAATCAAACAGAAAATATATTGAAAAAGATTTCATACCGCTCATCGTTATGCTTGCTGTACATCAATCAGCACAATACATCCATAGATCGAGTATGATATCGCTGTATTTGCCACACGAAATAAGCCACACTATCGCAGATTGTCCTGTGATATGATATTTAGATGTGCAAATTCCAGTATCTTAAGCCTTCGTCGCTGCTGATGCTTTCAAATCGAGCTACACTTGAAATCGATTTTACGGCGATGCATTGGCGTATTCTGCAATTTTTTTCTTAAAAACTATAGTGACAATGATTTATTTCATAAATAATGCAAAAAAGTTGATGCAACCTTCGCGATTTGCTAATAATTGCGAGATATTAACTTGGACCACATATTTCCTAATACAACGCCATAGTGATTCTCACTACTCTGGGGCTCCGGAAGTAAATTTGTCCGGCTTCAACTTGCATGTCAGTTGCACTATCTAGTGTATTATTAGATCTGTGGTAATACCCATTTAGAATGAGCGAAACGGGTGCAAGACCAGACTTTTAAGCTGCGTGCTATACCGGATTCACTCTTCATTTGCTGTAAAGGCTTCATTTGTTTTTTTTAATTGCCTTTGTTCAGTCTCTTCAGATAATTGATTGTGCTTCTGGCATTAACCATTATCACTGCCTTTTAATACTTTAATAAACGGGACCTTGGTAATATTGTAACTCCAGAAATACCATTTACTATCGTATAAGAGTTTTATTATGTATTTTATAAAGTTGACTTTAAATGTCATACGCCTTCAACAAAAGCAATTGAGAACAAAATTTAAATAATCAGATATTATATCATTCAATAATGTAAGCTAGATGCAGAAATGTGAATATGCATCATCCAAATACGTCGTGAAAAGTGTTTTGCTACTTTACATGTATAAAATAAAACCTTTAACTACCGTATCGTTGATTTCTTATTTGTTTTCCTGTCAGTAAACTTTTCATTGTGGTTCGCTTTCATTAAAAACTGAAAAAGTTCTTAAGTTCTGGGTTGTTTTTCAATTCGTCATTTCACCAGACAACCGCACGTACCCGAACTGGGATTTCAAAAAGAACTCTTTAGGATCATCGACTTTATAAAATAGATGGTTTTAGTGCTGGTCGCAATCAATCGATCTGTCAATGAAAGCCAGCAATCAAAATAATCATATACGTAAAAAATTTATTTGTCTTTTCCAATCTGAGTAAATTTTATTTTACACGGTATATTTCCTGTTCACTTGCCTTTTCACAAACTGTTTTTACTGTTTAAAAACTGTTTGTTTTTGATGTGGTTTCTTTTCACTGAAATTGAAAAAGTTCTTGAGATCTGGATTGTTTTTCAATTCTTCATTGGATCTCACAGTAGCATGCACTCGAACAGGGAGATTGGGGAATTTTTTGAGAATATACGCCTTGTGATCGCCAATCTTATAAAATGGTTCTGGTTGAGGTTTTGGCCGTGGTCGATCGTTCCAATGTTGGTTAATATTTCGAATAAGTCTTAAACATTCTGTCCATGAAGAGTCATATGTAAAAATATTTCCAGTCACCACGTCCGTTCTAAAGTAATCATAAACATCACTGTCTATTTTACTTTTCCAATCTGAGGATTCACTATTCAATTGTTGAACGACACTACACAGGGGATCATTTGTCTTAATCTGCTGAAGATTTCCAACTTTACATAATAAGTCAAATTTCTCGTCATCCGACATAAGAAATGGATGTTTTAACGCCACGGTAGCCGATGGTCTGTCTTCTGGTTCTCGGTTTAACATCCACGATAGAAGGTCTTTCAGTGCTTCATCCTTGATTTCCTCCAAGCCAACAGGTTTTCCATTTAACATATTGTCCAATCTATGCCGTTTAGTTCCAAACGGGTGTTTTCCTTTTGTTGCAATATAATAAGTTACCATTCCTGCATTCTAAAAAGATTAACAATGTAATGTTACAAATTGACTTTATACATGCATGTCGTGCAAATGGTTATATTCCTGCACCTACCATTACATCAGACTCTTTCTTGTACCGTCCTTTATCGACTGTATCTTTATCTTCACAATATGATTCAGGAGCAATCCAATACTCAGTTCCCGTGTTAGGCTTGCTTTCATATGTCGTACAATCATTATTCAACATTCGACTAATGCCAAAATCAGCTATCAGAAATTTGCCTTGTGAATCTCGAAGAACATTGGTGGGCTTTAAATCACGATGAAGAATAGGATTTGGGCCACTATGAAGATCAGCTAATCCTTGCAAAATTTGTCTGAGAATTTCGGGAACAGCTTTTTGAAGATCATGTAAAGTAGACGATTCTACGAAACTCTCCAATGATTCTTCACATAAGTCTAATATCAAATATACATATTCTGTTCCAGTCTCTTCCTCTAGGAAAGAATAATTCACAACATATTTCGACTTTCTTGCGTTGAATTCATTTAAAATTTTCTTTTCGTGCAGCGCAAGCTGGATGTAGCTATCTCGACGTATTTGTTTCACTGCTTTACCGTAACCATCCTTACCCAGTCCAAGATAAACACGTGTTCCATCACTTCCTTTGCCAATGCAAAACTCTTCTGAGAAAATTACTCGTACATTGCCCACCACTTTAACCTCAACACTGGAATTGCGTCCATATTCAATCAATTTTAAAAACAATTCTCTATGTTTCGTTGATTCATCAATGTATTTCCACTCTTGCAATATTAATTCTAAAAAAAATAGATAAAACATTACATTCAAGGGTGAAAGAAACGAAATTAATACGTCAAAATAGCTTAAACTTTCCCAATCAGGAAAGGATATTATTAGCTACCGCACATTTTTGAAAAAACTTATCAACAACCATTAGACAAATCATAAGTTCTTTAATTGCACAATCAAATCTAGCAACATTTGAGGTTAGATTATACCATACAATTTATCACAAAAACTTCTTTCTGCAGTAATTTCATATATATTTTTTTAAGAAATAACCTTACGTTTTTGGAAAATATTAAATTTAAATTTATAGAGCATATTTTTTAGAGTCTAAAAATTTTTATAGCAGAAAATAACAAAATAGCTTCATATAATTTTTCTTTCCATTCTCGACACTCATCTCTTAGATACACTATCTTATGTTTAATGCCAAATATGAACATTGAAGTTTGATTAGCAGCAAAAACTCAACAATTATTCTCTCAAACCTTGTTAGAACACCATTAAAGTGCCAATGAAATCAAAACTTTCCTAGTTAAATTATATTTACATTAACCAGAACTTTTGAGATGAATGCTTTCTAAAACCTTTTATGTGTAACTTTTTCATTCTAAAAATACTGAAGTGAAGTCCTTGTTATTACCAATTTATCTAACTTGTGACATCATATTGCATGCAAAATGAGTCGCTGCCATGTTTTAAATAAACTTCATTTTCCTGACAACTCTACGTTGATAATAGTAAGCAGTATTATATATCATTAACACATCACAAAGAAAGAAACTCTGCAAAGTTGAAGTAAAGTATTAGCAAATATACCGAATAATTCTAGTTTATTATACAATGTGACGTCACAAGTTAGATGAATCGAACATAACAAAAGCTTCAATATTATGAGAACGAAAAGAGATACGCATAAGTTAGTAGAGAAATTCCGTTGTCATATTAAAATTTCTAATTTGAAAATCACGTTTTACTAATTTGAAAAATTTCTCGTATAATAGAACGCTCCTTTGGAGATCTCTTATAAATAAACTTAGAGAGCAATTGAGCAAATCATTTTCATGCTTTCACATAAAATTTTCAGATCAATTTTATATCTATCCATCTGCCTGACTATTTATTGGTCTATTTGTTTATATATATTTGTATTATGTTTAATGTAGACTATGGTGGCTTTCACAAGAAATCAGTCGACCACAATTGAAGATATGAATACCCCCCTCCCCCACCCATTATAAATGACATAATATTTTCTTGCATGGCATAGTATAAATGACATAATATTTTTTGCTGCAAAAAGTATTACACTGAAACCAAGCTGTAATTTATATATATTCACTTCGCTTGCGATAAGAGGAAGATCAACGGCAATAGACAGTCCAGGTACAGGTACCAATGCACCAACTGCTGATGCTGTTGCTATCTTCCAAATTCGGCCTAAAACATATGACTATTAAGGTTCATATAGAAAACATACCAGTTTTTAGATTTTGAGCTCAGACTTAGAATCCTAGGATGCTATGCAACAGTAAGTTTCTTTTTACAGGGGGAATGTCAACATAAATGAAACACACGAAAGACATACCTCGAAGAACATCAGCTTTTCGATTCAGAATGTCTGTAGAAGGGCTGGTCTGTACACCTAAGGACAAAGTGAGACACTCTCGTTGTCGAAACGGCAGAACGTCGAGAATAGACTGGGTTAAACGTGCAAAATCCCATTTGGTAGGATGGTGGTTACTGATAAGAAACACTTTATCTTCGTTCAATCCATGACGGACGCCTTGAAAATTTTTCCAACAATCAGTGCGAATCTTCTTCAACATTTCTTCTTCTTTGAACGCTTTCTTTCGTTTCTCGTTGTTGTAATCCACATCGATGTGCGTGCGAATGAAAAAGAAAGACTTGTCGATAGAGATAATTTTTTTCGCTAGAATCAGATCATTTTCAGTGAATCGTCCCCTGGTGAAAATCAAGAAGGTGTCGTACTTCTCCCAGTTTACTTTTTCACAGTACGTGGGTAAATCAGGATAGTTGGGTCTTCCAATGCCGGGAAGATCCCAGAAAATAATTTTGGGATTTGTTGGATGAGGATATGATGTCGCCATCAAAGTTATCTCTGTCATTCCAGTTTCTGCTGCGTCTTCATCCTCTTCTCGAAGTCTATAATTAAGAAATATAGCTGCAATTTGATGTTCTGCTCATTTAAAGTCCAGTTAGCGAAATGCTCGTCTAGCTGTAGCCCGGTTCAATACTGTTAATATTACTTCTTGTATAAAGTATTTGGGCTTGGGTTCAGTCGCTTGCCGCAATTTTGTGTGAGGGAGCATAAGTAGAGGGGAAGAAAAATTTTCCATGTGAACTACTCGTTTCTCCGCTTTTTCCGTAGATGAGAAATGCTGTAGTGAACAGGTATGACGACCGAAGGAGCGTAATTTGAGCACAAAAGTTGAGCAATGACAAAATAACAGCCCTCTGTGATGGCATGATTGAAAGTTGTATTAATCCATTTTATTTAAAGGGGAAGTCAGAGTTCGGAACTACGGTGGGTCACAAGGGCCACCACACAAAATAAAAATATTAATACACACACAAAATAAAATTACACACAAAATACATTATACACACACAATATAAAAATACACACACAAAATAAAAATACACACACAAAATAAAAATACACACGCAAAATACATTATACACACACAAAATAAAAATGCACACACAAAATAAAAATACACACACAAAATAAAAATACACACACAAATATGATCGCGGGCGCTTGCAGTGTCGGATGGTCTGACTATCATATTATCAGTTTGTAATAATCAGATATCTTAATTGTGATTTTAATATGTGGTCGACTTGTCGTCGTATTTAACTGTTTCAACAGCGAAACATTTGAAATTACATTTGGAAAGGAATCGAAAGCAAGCTCTTGCATAATCCTGGCATAATTATGTTTTGTGCCAACTGTGGTGCACAATCACTTGACGAAGCTTCTTTTGTCAAATGCGTGTGCGTTTGGGAAGATTAACTTTGCCAAAATGTTCTGAAGCGTCAATGACGAGTAGCGTCTCTTCAAGCAGTTGCCCTCGAGCTCTGCAAGTCCGTTAACTTCAACTTCAAGTACCCCAAAGCTGTTTATAACAAATACAGGACAGGCTAGAGCAATAATGTCCTTTCAAAGGACAACACATTAACCTTAATTTTAACCAGAATACGGGGAGCAATATCGTAAGCAACTTTGAAATAATTGATCACAGTGAAATCAGTGAATTTTGTTATATACTCTGGAAGTTGGAACCATTAGAACTTTGAAAACAAATGCGATCAATTACGAGCAATTCCTGAGTAAGCCGACACTGCAAGCGCCCGCAATCATATTTTGTGTGTGTATTTTATTTTGTGTGTGTATTTTATTTTGCGTGTATTTTTATTTTGTGTGTTTATTTTATTTTGTGTGTGTATTTTTATTTGTGTGTATTTTTATTTTGTGTGTGTTTTTTTTATTTTGCGTGTGTATTTTTATTTTGTGTGTGTATTAATATTTTTATTTTGTGTGGTGGCCCTTGTGAGCCACCGTACGGAACAACTTTGGCCCAAATGAAAGATTATATTTTTATTAGCTTAAGCCCGCCGCACACTAGCGTACTTGCCGCGCGTACTTGTTATTCGTGACAAGTTGGATCGACAAAAATTCCTAGTGTGCGCGGAAGTTTCGAACAACATTTGTCATTCGTGACAGATATTCCAAATATCAAACATGTTTGATATTTTTTGTCACGAGTAACAAAAATCCCAAGTGTGCGGCCGACGAAAAGCAAGTCCTCCTACAATGATGACACTACGCATGCGCACATTAAATTAATGTAAACACAATATGGCGGATAGCAGTGATGGCAGTGACACTAATAGCAGTGACACTAATATCAGTGACACCAACACAGATAGCAATAATGATAGTTCCTCAGAAGACGAAAAAGTTTTGCTATTGATTTTGTTGTTGAGAAAGCGACGGAGACGTTTGAGAGCTGTACATCGTAAGTTGTGGACAAAGCGATGGATCCAAAGAAGACAATCGCAAGGAGTATTTAACAATCTCGTTCGAGAATTAAATGCAGAGGATCCAGAGAAATTTCGACAATTCCATCGACTTGATCGGGATTGCTTTGATAATATCTTACAATTGGTTCTGCCTTACATTACTAAGATGGATACACACTTGAGACCAGCAGTGAAACCTTGCGAGCGTCTATCCGTAACTTTGCGTTTCCTCGCCACAGGTTCGAACTGAGGAAATATATTATCTTTTTTGTTCAATTCATTCCTGTACATGAGCAACTTATTATTTATGTTATTTTAACTTAGGAGAAACATTCAGGAGTTTGTCATTCCAGTTTCGTATCGGTGAACGAACAATTTCTGAAATTGTGGAAGAGACATGCCAAGCTCTGTATATGTCTCTAAAACAACAATATTTGAAGGTAATAAAAGTTTTAATAGGCAATATATTGAACATGTCACTTTGAAATAAACTTTAGACAAGTTATGTTTAGATAATACAAAATTTCATGATACAAATATGTTTACAAATGGTTGTCAAGTGTTGTGTTGTTCAATGTTCATGTACATTGGATCCAGTGTGCTGTCTTTGGAATGGGAGACTGTAATGTTGATTATTCAGTTGAGATTGAAATCTTGAAACTATATCATCAACTTTGGATCTATTTGTTGGGTGGTTTAATGGCCAAAAAGTTTGATCTTGTGAAGAAGTAGGTGTTACCATTCCAAAAGTCTGCCTAGTCAAAAGCTCTCCATTTTGTGCTTGGAACAAAATGTTATTGATGTGATGTTGAGCCACAAAACGTACTTTGGGTTCTAGTTCTGCTAATGTGTCACATATCGACCAAAAGTATCCGTTTGGTTCTTTCGTTTATTGTCAGTTTTTAGTTTCTTATTTTGTTTTTCTGACATTGACTTAGCCAATCCTTTGATGAGATGGTATTCTTCTTCTGCTTGCTTCTTTCTACTATTTTTTAACTGAAATGGCTCTTTAGTTGATCTTGTTAAGGGAATGTCAATCTCATCTCCCTCCAAAGGAGTTGGACTTGGTGTTTCTATATTAGCTTGATAAGACATGTTATCATCAGCAACACTTTCTTCATCAGGTTGATCAATTATGCTAGTATCTGATGGAGAGTCACAGTGCTCCTAAAATGTTTTATGAAAAATATAATTTAAATGTTATTTTTAGACTCCAACTTCTGCTAATGAATGGTTAGAAATATCGAAAGATTTTGAAAGGAAGTGGAACTATCCGCTTTTATTGGGGCTTGATGGGAAGCATATTGCCATACAACAGCCTGTTTCAAGTGGTTCAGAATTTTTTAACTACAAACATTTCTTTCGTATTGCTAGTGGCTCTTGTTGATGCTAACTATAAGTTTTATATATGTGAGTGTTGGTGCCTCAGGGCGGCTGGAGATAGTGGTGTGTACAATGAATCAACTCTGAAAAAGCATTGGATCAGAACACTCTAGATCTGCCACTACCTGCTCCTCTTCAACCAAATTCAGTATGTAAAGTACATTATCATATTGTTGCAGATGATGCTTTTTCCATGAGCAAAGCATTAATGAAGCCCTATCCTCATAGACATTTAGACAGAGGGAAACGAATTTTTAACTACCGTCTTTCGAGAGCAAGGCGAGTGGTGGAAAATGCTTTTGGAATTTTTGCTCATAGGTGGCGTGTGTTTCTTACAACATTACGATTAAGTCCAAAGAAGGTTACACAGTTGATTTTAGCAGCCTGCTGTTTGCACAACTACTTAGTGGAAAAACAAAAATCAACATACACAGCAGCTGCAGATGTTGAAAACAGAGACCATAGCATTTCAAATGGGCCATGGAGAGGTGATCCATGCTTAGCTAGTTTAAACAAATTTAATTCAGATAGGAACCCATCAAGAAATGCTAAAACACAACGTGAGTATCTGACCACATTCTTTAATGGCAATGGCTCAGTCCCATGGCAGGATCTTATGATCAAATGAACAGTTTAGATGAAGACTTTTTAATGCATCCCAGGTTAATATTGGTTATTGTTAAATTACCTTACTGATTAACTGAACTTCTAAACAATGCATTTCAATTTAGAAGATAACTAAGACTAAATTATATTTTAAAACAATTAACTGCTATCTTGCCTCATGAAAATTGAAAAGGGAGCAATAGTCTTGTACGAAATATTTCATGATATTAAAATAAAACTTTTCACCTCTCCCTGTTTCTCATCAACATCTAAATGGACATAAACAGGAACAATATGCACTAATACATAAATTCATGTATCTGATTTACATGTTGATGATCCATAAATTTTTCTACTTTCCTTTTTACAGATTTTCTAGCACAAAAATATATGTCATATAGTATCAATGAGAAAATTTGGCAACATGTAACCAAACAATTTGATGTGTCTAATTTAATGTTTGCACGGATGCTACTTACAGAATCCATATTGGATATAGGGACTCTTGTTGCAATTTAAGGTGCCAGAAACTGCAGCTTTTCCAACAACCAGGTTCCTCTCTTTGTCGGATTTTTCCGTGCACTTCCACTTGGAGCAATCTTTTTAGCACTTGTATAACTGTTCCTGAGGGACTTCAGCTTAGCTTTTACTCATTCAACTGCAATATACAGATGATATAATATAAGGGGGAATACAGCACATGGCAAAGATTCATAACTTACCAGTTTTTCCTAACTTTTCTGCAATATTTTGATAAGCTTTCTCGCGTGCATCACGGTTCTTGAAGTCGGACGATCGCACATCGTATAAACACCGATAATCAGGCCAGATATCAACCAACTGGTCTTCTAAGATAGCTTCCGTAACAATTTCACTACATTCGTTCTGATTTAACGCGTCAATGCCATTGAGCTCTATAAGACCTGGAGGGGAAACGTCAACAAAATTACTATAAATTATCAGCGCGCGGCCGCGTGGTCAAAAACATGGCGGATTTTGGTTGTCAAAGTCAGCGGAAAGACGCGGGCTCATAAAATGAAATTTTTTTCGCCCACCCGGATTTGACAACCACAATAGCGATTATATAAAATATCAATGCCAAACACAAAAACTTTTAGAAATTTTATCTTTAAAACATGCTGCAAACTTGTTTGGTATACGGATGCTGAAGAGGAAACATTTCATGATACCGGTAAGCAACGTAAGATGGTTTACCATTTAAAGTGTTCAGTGTTTTGTTTTAAGTCAATACTTGAAGTGTGATGGCATATATTTTGTGAATGTTTTTACTTCTAAGTTATAATTTAAGTTATGTATATCCAGTCTTATTTGTTCTTTACTTAATCGCTTGCTAGACGAGGCAAAGCAACCAGTTCTTATCGAGATATGCATATCTTAAAACTCCTTGTTTCAACTGAGTTGAAATGGAGGATTTTTTCATGATATTTTTCTGAAAATATGAAGCAAATATTAAGGACAGAGCTGTATTGAAATCAAATGCAGTGCAAGATTAATTAATGAGCTCTTTGGTACATGTCGTACAATAAAAAATACCTGTATTAAACAGCTAGCCTGGACAATTTGACAGATTATGGACAATCATGATGATGGTGTGTAAAGGTTTGCTTTATGCTAAAAGTTTTATAAATGCCATCTGGTGTTTCTGTAAATGAATTGTTTGTTACACAGTGTAGTAAACAGGTTAGTACATCAAAATCAAGATAAAACTACTTTGTTCAATAATGTGCCAAATTTTGCTCCTACCTTGAAATATTTGCTCAAGAAAAGCTTATCATGACATGCATGAAACATTAAATACAGTACTGCATCATCTGACAAAATCCATATGTTTTTCAATTCCAGGTGATTAAAAATTCACATAAGATGCATTGGTTGCAATGAAGTTGAATGTGGAAGAAGCAAAAATTGATGGCAAAGAACTTTTTATGTCTTTTGAAGAATTACGATATCATTTAAAAGAATAAGAGTAGCAATCTAGTAAAAGAAGCCACATCTGCCTTCAACATGAGACTTTTCCAATTATGTATAGTTATTTTGTACAAAATACTATTTTAGATAAACTTGATTTTTAAGTCATTCACTGATATTTTTACCAAAAGACAAAAAGAAAAATTCAAAGGCATAATGTAAAATTCAAAAATTTGTCAAGTTGTTTGAACCTAGAAAAATTAGTATAGGTAACTGTAATTTGTAAGGACACAAGAGAAAAGTAGTGCAAGAAGGTTAGCATTTTGAGAATTAATAAGTTCTTGACATACATTACACAAGGCCATAATATTATAAATAATGTCTGTATAATAACAATTATACAACATGCTAAATATCTTCACCTACATTATAATTATTTAAACAGGTTTGCCTTCATGCAGCAATAAGAAAAGTGTTATGTCAGAGAAACCAATGCACTTTAATTTAAAAATCGTATTTTCAATGGGAAATTAATGTAGTTCTGTTCAGTAGTAGATCCATGGTTGTCAATGACAATCCAGTTTCTAATATCTTGGCTCAAAACAGAACCAGCAACATGATTATAGAATTTCTGAATTTCGTTCTTTTGCTCTCCTAGTTCAAGATATTTTCTTCATAAGTTCTCAGTAGATTTATCAGAATATCATAATACCTTATAAGACACCCAGAATCAATCCTACCAAAAAAAACTCAAAAAAATACATACCTACTTATAATATATTTCCAGTCGACTTAAGTCGTAGGTAAGCTAACTTTTCTAACTCCTTTTGGACATTTTAACTAAGATTTACCCATCTATTCAAGAAAGACAGTTGCACCAAGCTGTTAAAAACAGTCAAAACACAAGTATTGCGCATGGGATTATGCATTAAAGCTTAACGACACATTGACAGTGTAAAGAATGCCGTTTGATATTTATTTCTAATATAGCTAAAGCATTACTTGACAAAATATACGTTATTTTACAGTAGATTTACCTCATTTAAATGTGTGTGTCTATTTCACAAAAACCTGAAGCATTATTTTCAATATTTTATGCTTACGGTATCGTGGTTGTTTTCGCTGGTTGTCATTGATATAAGCAGTAATAGAGTTCCGGATTCGGGAGGGAGCGAATGTTAAAAATTTTTCTCAAAGTGGAAGTTTTGACAACCAAAATCCGCCATTACCGCCATGTTTTTGACCACGGGGTCCAGGCCCCTTTGCCCCTCCAGTTCTTATAGAGCTCAATGGTCAATGCTATCCGCCATATTGTGTTTACATTAATTTAATATGCGCATGCGTAGTGTCATCATTGTAGGACTTGCTTTTCGTCGGCCGCACACTTGGGATTTTTGTTACTCGTGACAAAAAATATCAAACATGTTTGATATTTGGAATATCTGTCACGAATGACAAATGTTGTTCGAAACTTCCGCGCACACTAGGAATTTTTGTCGATCCAACTTGTCACGAATAACAAGTACGCGCGGCAAGTACGCTAGTGTGCGGCGGGCTTTATATACCAAATATTATATCTTCTAGTTAAATACAAGTCGAGATATAAAGCGATGAAACCACGAAATTTTGTATATTTTGTATCAGCTATTATGTACATGCGAGCGAACCTGCGATCAAGAGGCGGTAAAGTCTCGTGACGTCACTGCGCGCTTTCGCGGGAGCGTATATATATTCAAATAGACAACATATCAGGAAAAGCGACACAATTACAATTACTTTGTTTACTTTAAATATTTCGGAACAATGCCACATTGCATGGTGCCTAATTGCACTAACGGATCTAGAAAAACAAAAGGTAGCGATGTATCGTATCATCGATTGCCAAACGACCCAACAATGCAAAAAATATGGCTTGCACGGGTTCGTCGTGATAATATACCGAAGCCAACTTCATGTTACGTATGTAGCGACCATTTCACCCCAGATTGCTTTAGTACTTCTCTAAAGGAGATATTCGGCATGAAATCGAAAAAGATATTAAAACCTAGTAGTGTACCATCGATATTTCCATTTTTAAATCGTAAACCCGAGCGAAAAATGTCACACAGAAGAGAACAAATGAGAGATAGTATTGCAAGACATGAGGTAAATAGGATATTGCAACCATATAGATTATATTTGAAGTTATTGAACTGTTCTTTAAACAATTAGCTTTGTACTCTCTTGGTTGAGAAGTTTGACTATTTTGTAGGAAGTTAGAAGCATAATACAATCACTAGATGAAGATACAAATCTTGCAACATGCATTGAAGATCAGCCTCCCAGTCCATTGTCCAAGGATGCCCAGATTCAATGTGAGCCAAAAGTTTTCATTGATGCAGAAGCACAGTGTGATATACCAAGACAAAGGACAGTTGCCACACAAACTCTTGCATGAAGAAAAAGGAAACCATTAAAAAATAAAAACGCTTCAAAAAATGTTGCCCCCTCTTTAAATGCAGTTTCTTCAAGTCATACACCAAAACCAGTAACATCCCCCACAACTCCTAACACAACAACTCCTATCACAACAACTCCTATTATATCATCTGATTCAGAAATCTCTTTAGGAAGCAGTGATGATATTGCTGCATCAGATAGTGATGATGATTATACCTATCTTGAGGAACTAGATACAGATAAGGAATCTGAAGGTGAGGAACTAAAAAATCAAGGAAAATTCATTGTCTTTGAAAGCATGCTTGATAAGCTGTTCGCAACATGTAGAATATGTGGTTCTCTTTGTGAGATTGAGAAGTCCCATGTTGGTAGTATGGTTGCCATAAAAACAACATGTAGCAATAATCATACTTACCAGTGGAAGTCTCAACCAGATTTGCACAATAAACCAGCAGGTAATATTTTAATTCCTGCTGCAACTATCATGACTGGAGGAACCTATGAAGCCACCAAGCAATTTGCAAATGCAATTAATTTAAACTTTGTAAATAAAGATCAGTTTTATGAAGTTCAAAATAAGATTGTCTTCCCAGTCATTGACAATGTCTATAAAAACAACAAAAGAAATTATTGAAACCATCAAAACAAAATGAAACCGGTTGACTTATGTGGTGATGGTAGATCAGACAGTCCTGGTCATAGCGCAAAATATGGTACATATTCCTTAATGGATGAAACTTCAGAGAAAATTATTGACTTTTCTCTTGTTCAAGTCTCTGAAGTTTCATCCTCTAATGCAATGGAGAAAAAAGGATGCCAAAGAGCACTTGACAATGTCAAGGTGTGAAAGTGAGATCATTGACAACTGACCGCCACATTCAAATAACCTCTGAAATGCGAAAGAGGTACCCTTCCATAGTGCACCAATATGATGTTTGGCATCTCTCAAAGTGGGTGACAAAAAAATTGACAGAGAAGGCAAAGAAAAAAGAAAATCATGAGCTACTAGAGTGGATCCAGTCTGTATACAATCACCTTTGGTGGTGTGCACAAAGTTGTCAGGGAAATGCTGAAGTGCTCCATGAGAAATGGGTGTCCATTTTACATCATATAGACAAGCATGTTAAACTTCCAAAGAATATTGCACCTACTCCAAGACCAAGCAAAAAAGAAGTGATAGCAGCACACCGATCACGAATGGCTGAAATACACACATAGGTGTGGCTAAATTATAGAATACCTGGCAATTTTAAATATCAGAAATTTTTCTTGTTAGAGAATGACTAGACAGTTGGCAACTTATATGAGGCCAAGTAAAGTCAATTAAGTATTTAATAAATGATAATATGACAGCAAACAACTAGCTGCTACAAAAAAGAAACAGTCAAGCCAGGTATCCTATAGTTTATTACTCTGACAACAGAAAAAGAAGTACTAAAACAGAAAACAAAGTGGAGTAGTTTCTAAGTAGCGGAGAGGTTTTCTTTAAAGTTTCACACACAACCAGTTATCTAACACTAAATAATAATAATCTTTCCA